GGGTCACGCCTGCAGAGTGGGGGCACTGGGAGAAGGCTGGGGTCACGCCTGCAGAGTGGGGGCACTGGGAGAAGGCTGGGGTCACGCCTGCAGAGCTGGGGGCGCTGGGAGAAGGTGGGGGTCACGCCTGCAGAGTGGGGGCACTGAGAGAAGGCTGGGGTCACGCCTGCAGAGTGGGGGCACTGGGAGAAAAATGGGGTCACGCCTGCAGTGGGGGCACTGGGAGAAGGCTGGGTCACGCCTGCAGAGCTGGGGGCACTGGGAGAAGGCTGGGGTCACGCCTGCAGAACTGGGGGCGGGGCTATTGACGCTGAGAAATCAAGCCGAGCCCCATCCCCGCAGCGGGAGAGGGCGGGGCTCACACAGGTGCCTGGGCGGGGAGGTCAGACCCCAGTCCTGTCCCCCAGGCCCAGCCCCTCCCGCTGGAAACTCGGGCACCCCGAGTCGGCCAAGAGCTGGGCTTTCTTGGGATTCTGGAAGCAGAGCTCGGAGCACTGGAATCGGCCCCTCGCTCTGCGTGGGAGGCTCTGGCTCAGACGTCCCCATCCCTCGAGTCACCCCCAGCGTTTTCATCGGGGCCCTTGTCACCATCTAACACCGAACAGTTATGTATTGAAGCTTCTGGAGTGGGAGCCGGGTCAGCCTGGGCCACCAGCACCTGGCAAACAGCAGCAGCACACAACCTAATCTCAGTTCAGCCTCCCCCTGCTGTGTGACCTCCAGCTGCCAAACGAACCTCTCTGGGCCAAAACTGGGGATCATAACAGCACTTCCCTCACAGGCTAGATGAAAAGGTTTAATTATTTGCATGTTGCTTTGTGCCTGGCATACAGTAAGCGCCCCACATGTGTTCAAATAAATAACATAAGTGCTCAGGAAATGATGCCCAGGGCTGGCGGGCGCCGCCCCTCCCCCCGGGGACTTCTCCCTGAAGCCACCTGGCCCCTCCCAAGGTCTCATCTGGGGCATGGGAGGCGGGCCTGGCCTCTGCCATCTGTCAGGGCTGACCACTCCGTCCCCCGGCCCCCTCCGTCCCCGACGGAGGACCTGGAACCAGATTGGGGGGTGCGGATTTAGGCCCGAGGGGCCCCTCCCCCGGCCGGGATACGATTCGGGGCCATTGTCCGCAAGGCTCCGGAGCAAACACTCGGCCTTTGTTCCGGGACCCTGGGGGCCTGGGGCTTCCCCTCCCCCCGCCCGGCCCCAAACCCGCCCGACAGGTTTGGTCCAAGGCGGCCGGGCCGGTTCCCCGCGGGGAGGGTTCGAATCCCACCGCCCGCCCCGGGG